TAGTTTATTTTATTTATTTTTTTTTTTTTGTATTCGTTTTTTTTTTTTTTTGTTATCTTTGAACTGCATGCTCGCAACAATTTTTTCGCAATCATATTTGGTCACTCATCTTAGCACAGATAAAAAAACAACTTTAATCTATATTTGGTTATCGCGTAACCAAAATTGTTGTAAAAATTTACGATCAATATAAACGATAATGTCAAATACTTTTACCCGTTGGACGTACAAGATGGGTAAATAAATAAACAGAATAAAAACAAAAGCCTTTTTATTATTATATAACACAAAACTTTCATATACGCTCGTTTGCGTGTGATGCGAATTCCATTGGTGAGGTGAACGTATGTTGTGAAGCTTCCGCATTCATTTATAAGCGATGAAAAGTTTCTCTTGGTTAAATAAATAACTTTGATAAAAAATGTTGATCTCAGTTATATCACGTTTAAGTTCCGACTGGGTTTCCATAATTTTGACTATACTAGTCCTTTATGTGACCAAATATTATTTTAACCATTTTACCCGTGAAAATCCTCTTCCGGGTCCTTTCCCCCTGCCACTTCTTGGCAATCTCCATCAAATTGCGCTTCACAAAATTGGTGACATGGATTTAGGAGGATGGGCATTTGCTCTTCACAGTAAATACGGGGACACCTTTGAAATTTATTTCGGACCGATACGCGTTATAATAATGGGTACTCCTGAGGCTTTAGAAAAATTTTATAATCCATCCATGGAAAATAAATTTTCAGGTCGCCCGAAAATGAACGGGTTTTCCGAACTAAAGTTAGACAATGGCATATTTTTTAATAATAATTTAAAATCTCGGAGACGCAATCGAAGACTAGTTTCTCAGGCTTTATTATCCGCGAAATTCTTGCATGGATTCATCAGCAACACTCAGGATCTATTTATCCAGGCCGAGCGTTATTGGACCTTTGGAACGGTCGTTGATCTTGCTTCGTGGTCCAAACATTTTTTATTTGATATCATAGTTTCTAATTCCACCGGGAGGAAGAGTAACTATGTTTTGGCATACAACACGCCGAAATCTGAGTATACACCAGACATGATTAAGTCTAATGAATTCCATGACCTCACGAAAACTTGGTTGGATTCCTTTCCATTCTTTTTGATGCTGCCTAAATTTTTAAGAGTCTATGTTCCTGGAATAAATTCCTTAAACAAATATTATCTCAAAAGTGCCGAACGATTAGACAACGAAATTCTCACAGAGATTACAAAACATCGTAAACAGCTGGAAAACCTCTCCGAAAGTCAGACAGGGAAGCCCAGTTTGTTAGACATGTTGCTCACTTTTAATGCAAGGAATCCTGATGACTGTGTAGTACCTGATGACTACATAGAAAGTGCAAAACCCAGTGGATATGAGGAAGAGCCAATGAAGGATAGAGAAATATGTGATAGCGCTTTGGACATTATACTTGCCGGCACAGATTCGGTATTTATCATGCGTCATGTTTCAAAAGACGCTATAGTATTAATGCACATAACCTCATTATTTCTTTTTTACTCAACAGACTGCGGATTCATTATGCAATTTCATCTATAATATGGCCAATAATCCCCAATGTAAAAAACGCCTAATAGAAGAAATCGATTCCGTCTTCGCTGACGACATGACCCGTCCCGTTAAATATGATGATCTTAAGAAACTTGTTTATATGGATGCGGCCATTAAAGAATCCTTACGCTTCTCTCCTGTTGTTCCTCTGGTCATGCGATCGGTTTCTGACACGGATACACTATTGGGATATGAATGGCGAGCCGGAGAAATTTTCTTCGTATCTCATTACGGTCTGCTGAACAATAAAAACGTTTGGAGTGATCCCCGTAAATTTAATCCGGATAGATTTCTCGAAGGTCTAAATGCAAATGAGAAAAGGTGTTACATTCCTTTTGGTAACGGGGATAGGATGTGTCCCGGAAGGTCATTGTCTCTTTCTTTTTTCTCTTCATGGTTAAAAAATCGGACGAATCGGCTAACTTTATGATTTCATTTTTTTTATAGGCACATGGCGATAACAGAGATTAAAACCTTGATAGCATTACTATTTAGAAAGTATGACATCGAATTGGTTGACAAGAACGCGCCGCTTGATTATACGTACAAGGGCACTTTCTTTTGCAACAAACTTTTGGTAAAGTTAAACGAAAGAAGATTCGAAAAATGAGTTTCCCTCATTATCGAAATCACCGTGATTATTACCGTAATATTTGCTGTAAATTGAATGACACCTAATAAAGGCTCGTGAGCACTACATTATTCGCGACACCTAAAAAAACTTGTCACGCGCAAATGATGTATGTCCTGTGGTTTTTTGCTATTATCATTGCGCTGTGTGTAACAAAATTCTATGGACATTATGACCTCTTGAATTTTTAAATGTTTACTCGTAAATTATTGTTCCCCATGTCGCAACCTTCAAGTTATTTGAATAATAACTTGCTCGTTATCACCAACATGCTTTGTACTCGTCCCATTATACCTGATTTTTATTCATTCATGAGCACTCCTGGAGTGCATGGCAACATAAATCAAGATGAAGTGTGGCAAGAAATGCAAAAGTAATTTAATTTAATCAATTTTCGGAGTTCGTCTATGACATCATGGAAAGAACATACATAGTAGGGTCGCCAATATCGACCGGCAGGAATAGATGTCTAATGCAAAAAGAATTTTTTTTTTGAAAAGTGCGTGTCTATATTACAAATGGGTTGGAAAACAATCTATTAGAATAATAATAATAATAATAATAATAATAATAATAATAATAAAATAATAATAATAATAATAATGATGATGATATATAATGATAATCAAAACACTGCTAACAATACTCGAGAACTAACTGATAGCAATTCATCGATTGTTCATTAGAGACAAGAGCAATTTAATGTTTTTCTCCAAGTTTTCGAGTCTCCCCGTGAATCCATCTTCCATAACCTTAATCTTACGTGCAATCCCGTCCTCCAATTTGCCCAGCTTTTCAACTAATTCCTCATTCTCAACGGCCCCGCCGGATTCATTGTCGTTGATATCGAAAACGGGATCTGTTGTTGTTTCGTTGGCATTATTTCCTACCAAAGTATTCACAATTTCCTTGGATTTCTTCATGCGCAATGGGGGAGGAGGTCTGTGTCCCTCGTCGTAGAATGTAATACATGATTCATGCTCGTTGGAAGATTTGACGTAATAAATCCCATGATATCCGGAATTAGAGTTGGTATCATCATCGTCGCTGGAATCGCCGTCGTCATCAAGCTTCTTTTCCTTGGCAATTTCGGAGAGCCAGGAGTTGATGACACTGGGATTCGGGATGTAATAGATGTACCGTGGATTTCGAAATTTATGACGGAATGGTTTTTCTAGAGTCTCATATTCGGAAATAAGATCGGCTCGGAAATTTTGCACGGCGTTGCGACCGTGTTCGTAGGCAGAATCAAATGCTCCGCTGAGGAGAAAGGGCATTTTTATTGGTTGTTAAATGGAAATGAATTAACGAACAGGATGATAAGAGGAGACATAGACATACTTCATAAATGCAATCAGCATATTCTGAAAAATAAGCACCAGCACAAGGCTACCCAAAATGGTCATCACGTCGAGCGCATAATTGTTCCATTGACCGATCTGATCCCAACGCCCGTTGGTCCAAAAGAAAACCGCTTCGACCGAGGATAAGAAGTAAGCGTAATAATTATCATGTCGGGACTGCTGATCAACTTGATGCCGAATCAGGTAACCGGGGAAGAGGTTGTCTGTGATGTTATTGGGGTTGACAATACCGTAAGTATCAACCACGAGCGAGGATGGGTCTGCTTTGTGTAACAAGACGAACCTGATGAAGACAAATACCCCGGTCAATTATCGAACACTTGTGGAACCAAGAAAATTCAATGTCATCACACTTACATTGCATGTCCAAATCCAACCACAACAATCAACATGAACGCCAGGAATGGCCAGATGGTGTTTAAGATGTGGATGATGATGTAAATGTAGTGTCCCGCATATTTAAAATATCGCATCAGCAATAGCTAATATAGAAAGAAAGACGTGAATCGTGGATTACCAGAAGGCGAAAGTGCACGATTTAGACGAAGAGGATACAAACCAATTGCATCCACATGACCAAAACCGTGAATGCTAAGATAATTTGAAAAGTTTCTGACGCAATGTTGATCGGCACTTCTTTAATGGCTATTGTTATTAAGGGAGCCAGTATTGATACCAAATCAAAAACATTATAAAAGTTGTTATATTTGGCAAATCCATTGCGCTTTATCTGTATAATTTCCGTTGCCAACAGGTAATATCCAAAATAGATCACAGAGAAGAACGCCGCCGCGTAAATCGTGCCAGAGTACGGGAATCCATCATAAAGCGCCTGTAGCGGAGCGTCAGCAATGTAAAGTATCGATCTGATGGCGAACGAAATAGCGAATAAAATATATATTGTAACTTGACGAGCAAAGTATTCCTTGGCATTGGTCCATTTAAAATCTGTTACTGCGTCCATTGATGGAACATTGTAAAAGTCGGGGTCCTTCTCGTGATCTATAACATGTAAGAATGGACTATAATCTTTCTCGTCAGAGATCACGCGTAGTCGAGGCCATAAGAGTATTCTCAAGAGCTGGAATGGTAATTTTGCTTTGTTGTTGCAATCAACGGGACCACAAGGATAAACGATGAAATCGGGAAGCGGAACCATGTAAACCTTTCGATCACCAAAAGCCTTGATATCTCTCGCCGATTGATCTGAAACGGCATTTTCTTGAGTTCTATTTTATTTATTTATTTTATTTTATTTTTTTAGGCATATGTAATAATGGATATACGTTATTATTGTTTCCGCGTGATCATAAAGATATTCATTCTTTAATATTAAATTACCTTCCAATTTTTTTACGAAAGGTCATTCCAATACGCTCCAGGATATTGACCTCGGGTTTACGCTCCAGTCCTGGCCTCGCGTTAACAACATATACGGATTCCGTATTGTTTCCGGCTTTTTGTTCCTCGGGCCTGATGTGGAGAGGTGGTGAATACGCTTCTGTGGTTCCGAAACATGGTTTCCTGAATATTTTTAGGACAAGGTCACCTTTGAGAACGATGATAGAAGAAAGTTACGTTACTAATCAACTCCGGTGTGAGTTTTACCCGCTAAAGAAATGCTTACCTAAATCATGCCTGTACAAGTACGGGATTGCACCGGTGACGGTGAACATCCATCCGGGATTATTAAAATCACCGGCATTGTCGGTATAATATTCAAGTAGATGTTCGACAATCTTTGCAGAGCTGACGGAATTCTTGGCCTTCTCAATAGCACATTGCAAATCTGTTAACACCTTTGATCTCAATTTCGGAGCATACGTTGAGTTACCATCAATGTTCGATGGTGAATTGATCCACTCGTATAACCTTGGGATATGTAAGCGACCATTCGTGCCTTCGATATCTTTGGACAAGATGTTTCTAATTAGCGGTTCTTGTTGAGCTTCGATAAGATCTTTCATAATGTTGTATCGAATATCGATCGAACGAAAAAGACTATGCTTTTTAATGAAGGTTCCAATTAACCTTTGTGTCTCCTTGATCAAATATTCGCATCTATTTGCATTGCAGTTGCCGGTGGCTTCTTTTTTCTTGTTCACCAAAAATTTTAGCGCACGACAGGCGCTCTTCAATGTATTTTCGTTATTTGGCCAATGTATAGTGCGTGTTTTAGAGACATCACCCTTCTTTGACGAAGGAGTCGACAATGTCAGGACAAATTCACGACGACCAATTTGAAGTCGGTTAATACATATTCTCGATTTTCCAATGCTTTTCTTCGACCAGATAAATTCAAGGATTCTTTTATCCTGGATTATTTTCCACACTTGGACTGTGTTAGGACCAATTATTAGTTGGGTCTTGTCGGGATCATCGAGATTGGCAAATATGCGCAAATATTTTTCGTCATGATGCCAAGGTTCAATTTCATTAATGATCACTTCGGATGCATTCTTATCCCTTTTTCCACCGAGATCAAATATAAGGTGATCGATGGAGTTGTCCTCAAGAGCCGAAAGATCGAGATCAACGAGCTCAGGAGATGGGGTGTGATTCAGTATGTCAACGATATCAGGTTGTTCGGACAGAGGAAATACTCCATCCCAATTTGTGACGGTCAGAATTCGTCCTTGTGGGTTCGTAAGTCGATGGGTGGCGTTAATGTTTAGCAGAAAATTATGTGTTTCCGGAAAAACAACCTCCCGGATCGCGTTATCCGATGTGCTGAAAAGATCCCAAACGATGAACACGTTACGGTTTTCATTTTCTCCTTTCTCACATTCCCCTTCGTTTTCAAAGACAATCAACAACTTATTGTCATCGGCGACAAAGTCGAGTGACACGATTTTAACGAAACCTTGTTTCTCCACTTCCTTTGTGATAACTTCCAGCCCATTTTCCATCAAATATATCGTGATAGCACTGGTTCCGCGACAGAATGCGAGCATCGCTTCATTTTTAGATATTGCGAAAATTCGTTTCCCCTTGGGAACATCAGGAGAATTTGGTGGTTCACGTTTTCGAAATACCATTTCTAGGTCCCCTGTGATCAAACTGTACATTTCCACAGCTTGGTGTTGATTCTTGTAGTCGCAGATCAGGAAATGGTTCCTTATGATGCTTGTATGGAGTAGCATAAATCCGCTTTCCCATCTGTCCAAAGACGAAAGATTGATGGAGAGTTGTCTGGGCAAATAAAAATGTTCAATTGAACCGGATTTATTCTGATGCAGGAAAGTCGGTACGTAAAAATGTTTATGGATGTTTGAAATTTTGGTTTTAATGGTTGCTTTATATATTCCGGAAGCATTTATCGCGACAATTTGTGTTTGATCAGCTATTTCCATATCATTTTCTAAAAATCTAACTATGCCACCGATATTTTGAAAGGAATTTGGGATCTCGGTTTTAGTGGATTCCGAGAAGATCCAAGTCCTAGGAGCGACAAAGGGCGTCGTTGTTCCCATCTCCTCATCAACCAGCGATGATTCGGAACTATCTTTGTGCAATATATCACATGGATCAAATCGGGACAAGGCAATGAGGCGGTCAGTGTCTTCTGTGCAATTGGAGATGGCTAGAGACCAACAAGTTGTTTGATTCGAGTTGGATTCTCCGGTGTTGTAGGTGAACTTTGAGGAATGTTGTGTTGTATTATGGACATCAAATATTTTAAACTCTTTGGTCTCAGGTTCAAAAGTGACAATTTTCTGACCGTCCGGGCTGATTGACACGTGACTTCCTAAAGAATAGAAGGATCGAAAATTCAATCCTAAAGGACTAGTAATGTTCGATTTTGACATGGTGAAAAAAGGGAATTTGTTGCTTCGTAATTCCAGATTATGAAACAGGCTAAGCCACGATATGAGAGATATTTGCCTAAGCAAAGAAAGAAAAAAAAAGAATGTGAACCAGGTAGTTGTCGCGAAGTTTAAAAATTAGGAAACTCCATCTGTTTTATATGCATCTCCCAGAAACCAGAAAAATTGTTTTGGGGAAACACGCTTGTTAGCTTAATGCCATTGAAAGGAAACAAGGGGGGATCCAACAAAGCAATAAACGCATTTGCATAAAATATCCACATAGAACCCTAATTTGTACGTGTGTATATGCACCGTACGTACAAGGAAATACGATTGTTGTCATTTAATCAGGGGACGAATAGCTGTTTTACTTGGCGTTATACATATTATTCGATGCGTAGGTTTATTTGATAGGTCATTCCCTGTATATAAGTATTCAACCTTATTTTGGTATTCGTAATGGTTTTTCCATGTTACATGGACCCCATCACTCAGCACATCTTCCAAATTAGGGTTGAATGCACTTGAGAAGGTACTGATTGAAATAAAGTTTAAAGTTACAGCATCAAGATGAGATCTATGTTATAGCCAAAGTATTTGAAATGATGAATTGCAGAGAAAAAAGAAGCGCATTTTTGTAAGAACGAATCAACGAAAAGGGTTTATTATTCTTGGTCTCGGAAATAGGTAACATACAGTATATTTATCCACAATAGAGTTTCAGCGTGATTGCCTTCGCAAATAATACATCACTTTATTGGAAATTCTCAGAACCGATATTCTCACCATTTATTAAGTACTCGGTCAGATGCATTGCACAATAAAAAGTGTAATCTAAAAGTTCGGCGATCGTATAAAAAATTGAAACAGAAACTTTGTTCGCTCAGATAAGGGTGGGTTAAGGTACTGTAATTGCCGAGTTGATTATTGATTGATTCCAAATTAATCATTCGCAATTAAGATTCTTTCGTAATTTATTTTGCTAGAATCTTTGGGCAATTGTGTAAAGATTTTGACAGAACGAATCATGTTCAAACCATTCACCATTACCAAGAAAATTTTAAATCATTATGCCGCGCGCGAATTTAGAACGTGCATTCGAATTGTGATCGCCTCACATGGAGCATTGGTCATGAGGTTAGAAAAAAAAAGAAAGACATCCACTGATCTCTTGTCTGGTGCAAATTATTAGATGATACAATCTTTCCAAGTAACACTCGCCATACCACACGTTTTGCAACGATAATTTATGTGATAAAAGAAATCATAACCTGTCGATAAGGAAAACGCATAATGAATACAGTATAAACAATTTAGAATCATATCATCGTGTAATCATAGTATAAAAGTTTTTGTATTCACGTATTTAAAAAAAAAAAATCAACCAAAACAAATGTGCATTGGAAATTAGAAATTTCTAGGTCTTTTCATTAAACAACGAAACTATTGAAACCCTCGTGATCATTCGCAACTTTGTAACGCTACAGTGGCGGTCGAAGTATTGCATCACCGAAACACAAAAATTAAAATAGCAATATCTCATTACATAAAATCTACTGTATATCGTAATAAATATTTATCGATATAAATTTTTTCTGCGCAATAATAAAAAAAAAAAAAAAACAATGTATAAACAGGAAAATGGAAAAAATGTAAAGCTTCTTCTTGAGAATATTGGTTTTTCTTTATTATGGGTCGTTCGTTGATGCATTTTTTTTTTACCGTTCCCCTTATTCTCGTCTCTTACTGTATATACCAAATAATAATAAAAAAAAAAAAAAAATTCAAATATAAAAAAAACTTGATGAATCGTTAAGCCTCCATTTGCTTTGATCATGTAATTATACGGGTGGGAATACTGGCGATTAAGTTCAAGTTCGTACATACATCATCTTCAAGCTCCACTCGAATAGCTTCCCATAATTGATCTTGTGTTCTAACAGGTGTTTCCAGACATCTCAAACGTCGATCAATTAAGTTTAAGTTGAAAGATTGAGTTGTCAAATTAATATCATTCTCTTCGAATCACCCACAGGCAGTGTGCTTAGGATTATTATCATTTTATGTCACCTGATAAGATCTTCATTCATTATTTAATTTGATATAGTTAATCACTTTTGACAATATTTATTAATTTAAACTTATTGAATCAGATATTATAACTTTATTTCAATTTTTTCTTTCTTTCTTTCTTTTTTTTTTAAGCCCTCTGTCAAGTTAGGTATATTAAATGTTTTGTATAATTTACATTAAAAATGTGTCGCTAAAGTTAAATCTCTATCTAACTCACTTATCAATATTTTGAAATTTATCAAAACTTTAAGTGCAACTTTGAAAGTAATTTATCACTCTATTAGTAGTTCAGGTAAAAATCCTTTCAACTGCTAACTTCATTACCTGCAGATTACTTTTTTTTTTTCTTTTTTTTTTATAATGCTGGCAGAGCTGAAACTTTATTGAAAAATTCTTATATGAAGTAGAGAAAACAAAATTACTCTAAAACTATATATAAGAAATATTTAAACAAATAAAGTGTTACAATAAAAGAGCTCCTTTATGAAAACTTTACCTTGTGGTCTAGTCACCCCTTAAAAAAGGAAAGAGGACTAGTCTAAGGTCTAATTAGTGCTGAAAAATTTTTTTTAAAACTATACAAATTATTAGATAATTGATCTAAATTTTCTATATTGATTAACTATTTATCAAAAATCAACATCGACCAATCTGACGCTTTGCAAATTATTCACCAAAGTACTGTATCTATGACTTTTATTTAACAAATTTTAATTTTACATTTAACCTGACCATAGGATTTACTCAGTAATAATATAATATATTCATATATCTCTAACATATTATCCTGTTATACCCTATATATGTTAAATAAGTATTATATATACAATATCAACTATTCTTAGTATTCTATCTATATTCATCTTGTTATATAGACTATACTATATACTGTATATAAGTTTATCTTATTAAAAAGCCACACGATTCCTTCTTGATTATTTCCAGTATAATTTTTTTATTAAAAGCAGATTGGTTATCAAACCATTGAATTTTCTTTATCCTAGACCCAGTATTTTGATCCTTTAAAATGGTCTACGAGTTTCTTCTCCCATCAAGGCCTTTCAGTAGTTAAGACAGTGAAGATACTACACTGTCTAATACTTGATTCTGAATCTTCAAAAACACTCTATCAGTTAGTTGAATCTACTTCTCTTATTGCCAGAAACAAAATTATCAATTTAAAATTGTACTAGCTTTTAATATCAGAGATTGGTTCGGTTATAATCTTTATATAAACTGTCTACTTGATAAGTGAATTCCCTTCCTACTGATCAATAACTATATTCAGAAATATCAAATATATAGTATATGGTTAAGCCAATGGATATATGTTTTTATCCCTTGTGAAATTTGAACTTGTATCTTGTGATCTGACCTATAAAGTGCTAACCACTATACTATTGGCTTATAGGTTTAGTAGGTTACTACTATAGATTACTCTGCAATATTCTATCAAATCTTAAAACCCAATTACTTTATTTCATATTTTACTCTTTTTGTTAAAATTTTTTAAAGACTTTCATTATCTTTTAGATTTTCTTTTTCTGATAGTAATTTTCTTTTCTTGGAAAGCATAATTTTTTGACCTATAAAACTTAAAAGTTGTTTAGTCTTGTCTGCTCTTCTGATTCCTTGTAACTATTTCTATTTAATTATTTTTTTATATCTCTTATTCCAGATTCTTTTTTAAACTTGATTGCAAACTCTTTTTTATATACTTAATATTCATTTTTTCACTTATTTTCCTATATGTTTTCCATAATATTTTAGATCTGCCATTTTTAGAATAAAATTATTTTTTATTAATCTAATATAAAAACTTAAAATATCTTAACTAGTTTTAAAGATTTGTTCTACTAGTATAGAGATCCATTTGTCAAGCTCTTTAAGTTCTTTTTGATTATTAGTAATCAATTTAATATTTTTTTTTGCAACCTATCTTTTTTTTTCTTGCAGAAGCTTTTTAAAGTTTCTAATAATTCTATCTAATCCTTTATTCTATGCTACTTATAGTTGATCCTTATAGATTGAATATTTTAATAAGTATTTTATGGTTTCTTCTTGTTAATTACATATAATACATTTTACTTACTTGTATAGATCAGGTTTTTTTATAGCTAATTTACTTAATATCATTGATCAGTTTGATAATAAAGTTTCTATGTTGAGATTTCTTAAAAGATGTATCCCATGTGTATCTATCTTTTATTTTTTCCCACATCTGATTCTATGTATAAAGTTGAAGCTTTAAAATTTAATGACTTCATTTTTTTTCTGTTCTATTTTGTTGTATTCATTGATGAGCTATTGTTTTGTTATTAATATTTTTAACAAATTGTTTGATCGAATCATCTAAAGTTTTATCTTATCATATGATTTTTATGATGATCTTATATAAGAGAAGATCTTTTCATTCAATCAATAGAAGTTTTAAGACTTCTTTAGCAAGAACATCTGCTTCTTCATTATAAAGGTTATTGAAATGTGCCTTAACTTTGGTGAGCTTTAGATTTATATTTTTCATTTTTATTAACTTTGCTATTTATATCCAAAAAGATCAAATTTTCTTTTTTAGCCATCTCCTATACATTCTTATTAAGTCCTTTTTTCTTATTGTTTTTTATTTGAAAATATATGCTTGGTTATTTATATAAATCTCAACTGTATTATTAATAAAAACTATCAGAAATATTATTATAATGCTATCAATTCAGTCCTTGTAAATGAGGATCAGTTGTTTACTTTTGTTTAGAACTTGTTTTCTCTTTCTATTTTTCTTATCTGAATCTAATTAGCTTCTATTTTCCTTTTCTTTTTTTTATATTTAATCAATGATCCATCGGAATAAAAGGTTAATTTTTTTTGGATTCAAGATTATATTGAAATATTTCTATTAAGTGATCTTGATATACTTCTTCTTTAATATT